CTCCACGACCCCCCCCCCGGGCACCAGGAGCTGGGGGGTGCAGGTTCCCGGGGTGCGGCGGCGAGAGGAAGGGAAAGCCCCGGGGTCTTGCTGGATCCACACCCCCGGCCTCACCCCAGCACCCACCTTGCCAGGGACAGGCTGGCGAGCACCCAGAGATGGGTGACAACGCACAGGGCGAAAAGGCAGCGCCATTCCATCCCGGCACGATGGGAAATGGAGAGGAGCAGGGGAGGCTGGGAGCAAGGTCTCACCCGAAGCCCAGCTTGGGCACACAAGTAGTGCAGGGATGGCTTGGGATTAAACCCAGTCCCCGCAGAGCACTGGTTTAACTGGAGGCCACCCTCACCCTGCCCTTCCTCGGACCCAGAGGGGGCCATCCTTCTTTGGGCAAGGAGGGATTCCTGGAGCCCGCGGCTCTTCACAGTGGGTTCATCAACCTGACGGAGGGGACCTCTGTAGCCGCCCGTCCCCTTGCCTTGTCCCAGCCCTCGCAGGTCCAAGGAGCTGGATTTTGGTGTCCCATTTGCTGATTATTTGCTCTTTCCGGAGGATGGGGGAAGCCTGGACACACCGCAGGCAGGCACTAAGGCCGGGCACACACTGAGCACATCCCACCATGGGGATAGGGCTGGTGGCAAACTGGAAAGAAGAGGACAAAAAGCCTCAGCCATGCCCTGTGGGGCTGGTTTGCTATGAGAGAGGATGACATGGGTGTGAGGTTGCTTTGCAGATGCCCCATGCCCCTTGCTCCTGCCCCCCACACCAAGCACCCCTCACCCAGGGTAGATCAGGGGGTGACAGACCCCCGTCCCCTTTACTGAGCCTGGAGTGGGGTTCAGTAAAGCTCAGGTTTGTGCCTAACCAGACAAAGCCAGTCCAAGCCCTGCTCTAATCCAGTGTTACTGGGGCACTGGAGGGGGACACAGACGCAGGAAGAGCCATTGCAGGCCATAGGGTGAATGGTTGCACTTTAAAGATTCAATCCTTCAGGCAACAGCAAGCAGAGGTGCCCACGGTTTGGCCTTGGGGTGCAGTCTGCCCACCCCAATTTGGGGGGAGCCCAGCACCCGCCGAGGTCCTGGGACATCTCCCTTGGCAGGGCTCTGATGGACACAGCGTTAAGAGGCTGCAGCCCAGGCAGGATAGGAACAGGAGGAATTTGGGGGCTCTCGATGGGTAAGAGCTCCCCAGCAGACAAGCACCTCCAGAGCCTCCTTTGGGGGACATGAGAGGGGGACACTGGCCTCAGCAGAGCAGCCATCGGGGCAGCCCAGAGCAGAGGCTTACAGCAGTGTGGGCCGGGCTTGACACCCCACCCCCCCCGAAACCCTGCAGCCCCCCTGGGCAGGGCGGAGACCCCCCCAGACACCCCGCTTCTCCCCGCTGTACCACCCGGTCCCCCCAGGCGTGGGGCTGGGCACAGCCCCTTTGCTGGGGTGGCCCTGCCACCTCCTGGCCGGCCTTGGGACTGCGGGGGGGCAACACGGCCCGGGGCCACCCCCCAGCTGCTCCGGGACACGCAGCCCCACGGGGGATGGGGACAGGACCGTGGCTCTGTACCCCTCACCCGGCTTACCTGGTTCGGGGCTCTCCTTCTCCTCCTCTGCCCCACCAGACGAGTGATGCAACACCAACGTGTGCCACAACCCCAGGTACCACCAGCCATCACCAGGTGCCGCCAGACACCAGTGGGTACCACCGACCATCACCGGGTACCACCGGACATCACTGGGTACCACCGGACATCAGTGGCATCACCAGGTCATGGCACAACTTGGCAGGTGCGGGTGACCTGGGGCGGCACCCTGGGGAAGGACGTTCCATGGGCACGGCCCCACCAGGGTCTTGCTCCGCAGCCTCCAAACCTGCCCTCAAATCCGGGTGCACAAGCCCATCCAAGCCCAGCTGGATTTGGGCTGGAAATCATCAATTCGCAGCAGGTTGAACCCTTTTCCCTTACTCCAGCCATGGCTTCATCTCAACCCACTTCCCACCAGCTTCTCCAGAGAGCAGGCTGGCCAGTTAAAAGGCCCCAAAACAGGCTTTTTTTACACTGAAAACAGAAGCAAAACCAGCACAACACCTCCCTCCTCTGAAATTGCCTCAGTATTTTGCTGCTTATAGGAAAACAGCCCCTTATAACTGCAAAGTTTTTTTATTTCATCTCCTCCTGGGCAGAAAACATCAAGTGACACAAGTTTTTCGACACCAAAACACATTTTCACTCACGCCACCTCCAAGCCAAACTGCAGAACGAACCCAAGGAAGGACAACTTAAATTCAGTTGCTTAAAAATCAAAATACTACCCTGACCCTCACCAGCACCATGCCGAAAAGGGGGTCCCGTATAAATACAGTGCAATAATTACATATATTTTGCAATGGCACAATTAAAAGCCATATCCAGCCCCGTGTCCAGGGGCTCGTCCTGCACTGCTTCCCAAGCCCGTCTCCGCAGGTGATGCTGCAGCCACCAGCTGATAGCATCCCTCTTCCCAGTACACTCCAGTTTCAATACCCCCAGCACCAATAGCTCTGAGAGGCTGGAGGGAGCTGGTACAGACTAGGGGAGAGGGGCCGCAGCCCCCCAGAAAATATGGCTCCATGTCCTGGGCAGGGATTTGCCAGAGCTGCTCATTTTGGAGGCTGCGGGTGCAGTGCCTGCACATGAGCTTCATCCTCTCTTCACCCAAAGGTGACTTCAGCTTTGTTGCCTGATTATTTTTTTAAGGATATTCCAGCCACAACAGGGAGAAACACCACTTAAAACGATCCGTCATGATCCCAAAGAAGCAGTCTAACTAGGGAGCAACTGGAGTGGCCCCAAAACAGGACGTCCGCCCAACATGGCCCATTCTGGGCAGGGGTTTCTCTGCCACACAGGGGTGGCACCCTGCAGTTTTATGGCCAGTGCTGGGACAGGACCTGGCTGCATCCTTCCCAGGACTCACACCTCCCTGGGGTGCTCCCGGAGCCCATCGAGGTGACAAACACAGCCCCCTGGTGACAACCAACCCAGGAGAGTGAGGAGAAGCCACCCAGGGCAGCTGACACAAGCCTCCCACCACCACCCTCAGAAAACCCAGCACTCCCCAACCCACCCCACACTCCAGCTGTCCCACAGAGACCCCACACGCTCAGGACACAAGTGACCAGAGAGGACAAAGGCAACGGTGGTGGTGGGGAGCTCAGTGCTTCAGCAGGTCCCCCAGGTCATATGCCTCAAAGAGGTCACTGACGCCCTCACCCTCCAGCCCCCAGAGATAGTCATCCTGTTCCAGGGGGGGTGAGAAGGTGACAAAGGGTCCCGAGTCCAGGTGGGAGGGGACGCAGGGTAGCTGGTCCTCTGTCTGCTGCAGGAGGTGTGGGGGTGAGCCCAGGAGCCCAGCCTCCACCTCCAGCAGCGAGCTGGGCCCCCCTGGGACAGTGAGAGGCAGAGATGGGGGTGAGGAAGGGGTTCCTGTGCCCCCCCAGCTCTGGGGGACGGCATGGGGCGGCTGTGGGTCTGGCCCGGGGCTGTTTGGCGGGGAAGGGGTTACAGCGTGGTCCCGTGGGGAGGTGGCAGCGGAGGGGATGCAGTGGACCTTGGTGGGGGTCTCCTCCCCAGTCTCCTCCAGGCAGAGGTACACCTCGATGGGGCCATTGGTGCTCTTCAGGTGGAGCTGGAGGTTGTCCTGGGGGGGCAGAGCAAGGCTCAAGGGGGCACCCATATCCCACACCACTGCCCCCAACCCATGCGGGGTCCAGGCAGGGCACTGCAACCCCTAAAGTTCAGGGTCAAACAGCCCCAGAAAGACACCCCCAAACCACCCAGGGCCATGCTGGGCTGCACCCTTGAGACACTCCAGATGAACCCATCAAGGATGGCGCAGATGCAGCAGCACCCACAGCAGCACCCACACCCCAGCCCCAACCCTGCTGCAAGGCGGGGAATGGCTCCCGGCCCCACACGCACCTCGCTGAAGTCTGGCACCTCCAGTTGCGTGCCCGGGGGACCCTTCACAGCGATCACTGTCTGCTCCTGGAAGTTGCTGATGGCACGGAGGTCCTGGTAGGTGACGTATGCTAGCGTGGACCGGGACGAGGTATAGGAAAAGGAGGCACTGCGAGCAGGACGGCTCAACCCCACCCATCCCAGCGGCCTTCAAACATTCCCCCTCAGCCTGGGGGAAGCCAACTGGAGGAGAAGAGACTCAGAAGGCTCCCCAAGACCCTGTCCCCAAGACCCTGTCCTCCCTCCCCATCTCCCCTAGCAAGGATATCTCTGGTTGGCTTCATTGTCAGCCAGCTGCTGGAGCTGCAGGCCACAGTCCTGCAGGAGCTGGTCCAGCGTCCTCTCCATCCTGGCCAGCTCGGCCAGCTCACCCTGCAGTGCCTGCTGCTTCGCCGTCACCGCCGCGTCCTCAAAGATCCCCGTCCCCCTGCCAGCGGAGATGGCACCTGAGCGGTAGCACACCCTGCATGCCTCCAAGCTGCCTGTCCCCCACCCTGCCCCGTCCCCATGTCCCATGTCCATCACCCCAGCATCACTTACATCCACTGGATGTTGTTCTTGGATTTCTTGCGGATGAGCTGGATGCCCTCCAGCACGTTGGTGATGTCATAGATGCGCCGTTTCTGGACCTCCAGCACTTCGGCCGCCCGGTTGAGATCCACAACGCCATCGGGCGACTCGCTCAGCAAACGGATGAATTTTTTGGTGAGCAGCCCCAGCGAGGTGTCATAGCGAGTCTTCTCCCCGGGAGACCTGGGGGCTGCAGGGAAACGAGAGACCCCCCCCATCCTCTCCTTAGCATGGGATGTGGGATGGAGGTGACACAGTGCTGGACACAAGACACACCCCCCGTTCTCTCCTTAGCCTGGGCCATGGGATGGAGGTGACATGGGGCTGGACATGCTGGGGACATTAAACACTCTACAATCCCTAATCTGGTGGAAAAATAACCCAGAAATAACCCCTCCAGGGAGTTTTCTGCCAGTGCAGTGAGTTGAATCAGCTCAAAGAGCTGCTGAGCAGCAGCCAGAAGGGACTGAGGAGCGGGCACTGCTCCCACAGTGTCACCTCGGGTCACTTTGGGTAGTGCTAGAGGGGACAATGCAGCAGGTCTAAGAGGGGAGAGGAATGGGGTCTGTCCCCCTCCCAGCTCCCCCCTACCCTGTCTCGCCCAGCACCACTTACTTCTGGGGCTGGGGACCTGCGCCAGTGCCCTGCCCTTCCCCTTGGGTGTGCGAAATTCGGGGCCCTCCAGGTCCAGCTTTCTCTTGGCCTGGAGCAGGAAAGAAAATCCCACGTCAGGGCCGAGCCAGACAGCCCCTTGAGCCCTCCTAGACTCCCCCTGGGGCATCAGCTGAGCCCTGGGTGCCACAGCCCAGGGTGGGGGGATCTTGCAAGAGGCTCATCCAGTTGCAAAACCCCTTCTGGGAAGGGCTCCAGCAGCATCCAGCAGGGCAAGGAGCCGCCGTGAGAGCTGGGTGGAAAGGAGATGGGGGGTCCCAGCACCCCCCATGGCTTCCTGCCCGCTTCCGCCACAGCACCCCAGCCTGCCCTGCCACTCCCCTGGCAGCTGCAGGGAACCCACTGGGATTTCCCCTCACCCCCAGATCCTGGCATGGTTCCGTGGGGCCGAGCCCTGGGAATGGCGGCAGCTCCGAGGCCGGATCCTCACCCTCCCACCCTGCCAGCTGGCTTACTGGGGTACGAGGTTTCACCCCCCCAGCCACAGTTGGAGGCAGCCGTGCACCCAGCTGCCACCGGCACACCTGGGACCAGCCAGGCTCAGCTCTCCCCGGGGACCTGTGGGTGCCCCAGACACGTGCACACAGCCGGAGGGAAACTGGGTCGAGGGGAGGGTGGGGGATGAGGCAGGGTGGGTGCTAGGTCCTGGGAGCAAGGACACCTCCCTGCATACACTCTCCCCTTGCCAGGGTAAGCAACTCCTTGAAATTGCCCCCAAGGGACCCATCCCCAGCATCACTTGGGGAGAAGAGACCCAGGGAAGAGGGGAGCTTTTAGCAGAGTAGATGCAGAGAGGAGCTGGGGTGTGTCACCAAACAACCCCCCCAATGGGTGCAAATCCCCCAGAATCCCCCCACATCCCCAAATATGAGCAGGGGAACTTTGGGTGGACACTTTGTCTCAGCAGCAGAAAGCAGCCACCCAGCCCCATCCCATCCCCCACCCCAGTACCTGCTCCCAGGCCGGGCTGTCCCACAGGGTCCCCCCCAGCATGTCCTGCATGGTGCCCAGGTCCCCGTGCCTGCTCAGCGCAGCTCCGACGGCAGCTCCCTGGGGAGCGCACCCCACTTTGCAGGGAAGGGTTGGGTGCCTCGGCAGCATTCCCACTCAAGGGGGCTGGCAGGAGAGGCGCCGGGGGCTGTTTTCCACCCCCCCAGGGAGCCAGGTTGGTCCCAAGCTCCTGTGGGAATCTGTTCCCTCCCTCCCTTCCCTGAGCAGGTTTTCCCCAGCGAACGTGCCTCCATCCCCAGCCCCGCGCCCCCGGATCTGCCCCCAAGCTGCCAGCACCCCAACGGTTAATGCCAAGCGCATGGGAAACACCTACCCTGGATCAGACCCCAACACATCTGCCAGCACAATTTGGGACAAGGTGGGGGGCATCATTTGGGGCCCTCCCTTCTGCTGGCAGCCAAACCCTTGCTTCTCCAGACACCAGTGGCCATGACCACCCGTGTGTCCCCATCGCTGCTGGGGGGGGGGGGGGGGGCCCCCTCCCCCCCGCCCCCGTGGCGCGGCCCCCCCGGGTGCCCCCCCGCGGGGGGGGGGGGGGGGGGGCCAGCCGCACCCCATCTGCCCAAGCAATGGGGAAGCTGAGGCATGGGAACAACACAGGGCAGGTCCTGGTGTCCTCGGTCACCTCGCACCCCTCAGACCCACGGCCACCAAAGTGGTGTCCCCTCCCCATGTGCAGGAGGGGACAAAGGGGGACCCCCCTGCTCCCCCACATGCAGTTCGGGGAGGGGGGAGCTCGGTGGGCTCAGGCAGGCGCAGGATCCCACGGCGCTGGGACACATCAGCGAGGGACAATGGACAAGGGCGTCCCTCCTGTGTCCCAGCTGCTGCCCCCCCCAGCTGGGGAGGATTAGGCACATGACAGCTGAGTCGGGCATGGCAATGGGCTCCCAGCACCCTGCCAGGGCTGGGGTGGGGATGGGGTGGGATGAAACAGAGCAGATGGGGGGTGCAGGGACCAAACCCCAAGACCCCCCCCCACAGAGCACTGTGAGACACCCCCCTCAGGCTGCTCACTAGCTCTCAGCCACTGCTTTCCAGGATGGGAGGACACACCAGCTACACCCCAATATGATGCTGAAGGTGGGAAAGGAGGCTCAACCCCCACCCCGGGTGAGGGCAGGAGCCTGCTGCAGGGGGGAAAGGCAGCGGGGGGAGGGCAGGCCAGGCTCCCTGCCAGCTCTGCCTGCCAAGCAGCTCTCATCCCAGCCCTAGTGCCAGGGGCTACACCCTGCGCCCAGCCCAAGCATCAGAGCAGCCCTCTCCCCTGGGGGGGGGCTGTGGCAGGCTGCTCCTGCCAACGCTTCCTTTCAACAGCACCCGCTGTCTTCTTCGGGCTTGCCTAGGCCCTGCCTGGCCCTTCTGGCCCTCCCTGTGCCAGCCACGTTCCCCCCAACCCCGGGGCGTGGGAACACAGCGCCTGGGGATGGGCACCCGGAGCCGGCAGGGGGCCACAGGGCACCCCAGGATCGTGCTACCACACCAGGGATGCTGCTCATGCCAAGTGACTGCTGGATTAGGCCCCCCAGATGCACCCCTCCATGGCTTTGGGATGGCTGAGGGCTAGTGGAGCACAGGGGGATGCAGAACCCCCAGATTTGGGGGGTCAGGGGGGCTTTCAGCCCCACCATGGGAAGGGGAGGGAGGCTGACCCCAAACCTGGCCCCGGGGCAGGGAGTCCACCCTGCACTGGGGAGGAAAGCTGTACCCCCACCCTGGGTACCGCTCCAGGATGCAGCCACCATCTCCATCCCCTCCGACAGTCCCATCCATGGACAGAGGGAGAAGGCCTGGGCAGAGACATTCCCCAGTAGAGAGGAGCTGGAGGCTGTAAAAGCCCAGAGCCAGAAAAAGCCCCTCCAAGGGCAACAGTACAGCCACCACCTTCCCACCCATCCCAGATCGCCCCCAGCTCCCTGCACCCCAAAAATTCCCCCCTCCTACCCATGCAGAAAAACCTTTGATGGGATCAAAGTGGGACAGGACCACCCTGGGTCACCCCAGCAGAAACTGGAGTGCTGCCAAGAGGTTCTCCTGCTGGGGAAGGGCTCCAGCCCAGCACCCACAGGGGCTGCCACCCTCCTACCACCCTGGGTGCTCTTTGCACAGGCAGCTCAGCCCTGCCAGCTCGCACCAAAACCGTGGCGGACTCTGAACGCCCTTGTCCTGGCACAGAGGAGGCTGTGAGACCCAGGACCCCACAGTGGAGACATCGCTCTGTCCAGAGCTCCTTCACAGCCCTGAGCCCCTATAGAGATCCCATGGCTTCTATGGAGATCCCATATAGCCAGGAGCAGGGCAAATACTCAGGGTGGAATTGACACAGGCTAAAATGGCTCCAAAATATGCATTTTTCATGGGGGAAAATGTATTTACCTACTCCAAGACCCTCAAGTCAGAGACAGAGAAATGTGACACTTTTTTGGACCATGAGAGACAACCCATCCCGCTCTCCCACGGCTAGACATGGGGTGATGGGCTCCCTCCAGCTGAACCAGTGACCCCTGATCATTTATAAGGCACAAATCCCGCAAGCAGGTGGGAGCGGCTGCAATTGCCCTGCTCAGGAATTGGGAGGAAACGCTCATTATCTGATTGCCCCGGATCTGCACACAAAGGTTGTGCCCATAAACGGGGTGCGGGGGGAAGCCCCACCTGCTGGGGCTGCAAGTGTTGCACTGGGTTTGGAAATGGGATCTCCAGCACCAGGAACGGGATCATGGCATCAGGGAATAGGATGGAGACAGAGGGAAACGCCGCTTGCAAGCCACCGATGGGGATGCAGGAGCACTTCATGTCCCCAGGTGTCACACAAGCACCCCCCAGACCCCATTCAGGGAACAGCTGCAGGCAGGAGCATCCTGAGCATCTCCTGGCATGGGTGATGATGATGATGGTGGTGGTGGTGGTGATGCCAAAGAGGCCATTAGCCCAAAACCAGCTGTGCAGTGATGCGTGGAAACAGGACTGTGAGTCTGTGGGGTGTTTTTAGGGGAGGAGGCAGTGGCACGGGTGTCTCCTTAAACAACAGCCTCTGGCAGCGCAGGATGCAGCATCTCATGCGGTTCGGAGACAAAGAGGCTGGGGAGGAGACAGGTGGCCCCGGAGCCCCCTGCAAAAGGGCTCGCAATGGCCCCAGCCAGCCCCGCAGCCATGGCATGAAGCGGGGAGCAAAGACACCCCTTCTCCCCCAGCTGCAGCAATGTCCCCAGCTGGCACCCGAGCATGGGGGAGTGAGGAAAGGGGGTGGGGGTGGGGGGGAATAAATAAATAAATCAAGCCTCGAAAGAACTAAATTGAAGTTAGCAAGGTCTGGAATCCCTCCTAGGATCCAGGGAGAACAGAGACTCACAGTGAGGGCTGGACACGTGCCTGGGCTGGGGCGGGCAGGAATTAAACGCCAGCTGCCAGCAAGGCTGACTGGCCGGGGGCTCAGGGGGGGCCCTCTGGGAGGAGAACAGGGCTGGGCAGAGCCACCTGCACACCCCAATGCTGGGCACAGGGCCAGCACCCGACCTGGGCCTCAGTTTCCCTGTTTAGGGCAGCGGGCGCCAGGCAGCCCTGACCCCAGGCTAGGTGACAGGGATGCAGCCAGTGCCAGCAACCCTCTCCCCATGCCAACCTACACAGCTCCCAGCATCAGGGTCTCTGGTTCGAAGCCATGGTGTGTCCCATGGAGGAAGGGGATTGCTTCAAATTCGCACCCCCTTAAAAAAAAAAAAGGTATTTCCAGCCCTGCTGTAACAGCAGGCAGGAACCAAGCTTGGGCAGCAGCACTGAACCACCCCTGCAGGTGACAGGTCACCCTGGGGGTCACAGCCCTGAAGTGGGGAGACCCAGTGGGCAGGGACGGTGCCCCCCACTCGCAGCAGGCAGGAGTGCTGCCTGCACCCAGCCCTCACTTCCTTAACATGAAAAGAAGTTTGCAAAGGGCCTCAGTGCCACGGCAAGGCTTTGAGGCATGACCCAAACTGTTTGCAAGCCGGAGAGAGGAAAAAAAAAAAGGCCAGAAAAGGCTGAAAAGCGGAAGCCAGGAGCCAGCTTTGTGGGCATGCAGGGGCAAAGGGAAGTTGAGAAACGTATGAGCCATTTCACTGTGACTTCTGATTTCAAACCTTACCCTCCCCCACCCCAAAGAGACATCTGAGCAGGGTGCAGACCCCAACATAAACTGTAAAAATTGGAAGGGGAGGGTGCTGTACATCCTGGGGTCACCCACCCCTTGCTCCTCACCCTGCATGGAGCCCCCAGACCCCCATCCCACCAAAGCGATACCCAAGGAGGGGATGGGGTGCAGACACCTTACCGGCAGCCGTCCCGCCGAGGCCGAGCGGAGGGTCCTGAGCTGGGGGCCCTGGGGGGTGCCATAGAGATACCCCCCCCGGGGAGCAGGGATGCTGACAGGCGCTGGCATGTAGACCTGGGTGAAGCAGCTGGCAGGTAACGGGGGGCTGCCCAGGTCAGAAGCCCCCTGCTCAGAGGAGCCCATCACTGACATG